GTGAAACTTGTGTCGCTCGGGGGGGCTTTTTCATGCCCCGGAGCGATGCAAGTTAGAGCCTTTGAGAGAACCTGTTAACAGTCTACAAATATGCTGAGGGCTGTTATAATGAGAACGGTGATCAATTGTTGTCCATGTCCACTGGAGGTAGGACAAGAAGCAATGGGCTTCATCTGCAGCAAGGGAGATTTAGGTTAGACTCTAATTTAAGGTTTCGCGTGCCAGTAATACATGTTAACTTTTTAGAAGGTCTTTCTATAAGTCTATAATATAGAACTAAACTATTGTTGTATGTAAAGTAAATAAGGTGTTTAAAATGTTTAAGAAGCTTCATTTAAAATTAAATTAAAACGCAGAGCCCCCCGGACCGGTGGCCAGGACCCGGGCAGTGTGAGTGCCACTGAAAATCAGCTCGTGTGCCGCCTTCGGCACGCGTGCCATAGGTTGCCGACCCCTGGGTGAGACGTTAGGAAAAACTTTCGAACTCGAAGGGGAGTTAAGCTCTGGAACAGATCAGGGGAGATGGTGAAATCCGTATCACTGGGGCGGTTTTAAGCACGGGTGGGACACACAGCGGTCAGGGCAGATCTAGATGTACTTGGTGCTGCCTCAGCGCAGGGGGCTGGACTTTATGACCTCTCGAGGTCCCTTCCAGCCCAACATTTCTATGACTCTATGATTCTATAGTTCAGGCTTTTGCCACAGCTTCCTCTTTTATAAGGCCCAGGTACTCCTGTAGCAGGTAATTGGTCACAGGACCCTGCTCCTGCTTGAAGGGGCCAGTCACCCTGCACCATCCCCTTTCATGACCTCAAAAGGAGCCATGTTAAGTCACCCCGAGCCAAGCAGGCTGTCTGCAGCCCCGTTGTGGGTCAGGCAGGGGGAGGCCTGGGCTCTGAAGGGCTGACTGCAGCAAAGAACCCTGCAATGAGATTTGTGGTGCCCGATCCACTGACCAACCCAGCAGAGGTGCCTTTCCACTCCCACCTGCAGCATGGAGCGGCGTCCACTTCTTCTTCTTCTCCTTCACAAGGGCGGAAGCACCGTGGCTGGTGAGCACCTCCACGCACTCCGTGGAGCCCCTCTCCGTGGCAAGGTACAGCGCCGTCCGCCCTTTGTGGTCCCGCACGTCAAGGTTCACGAGGGTTTCGGCAAGTGTCTTTAGGGCTTCACAGTGACCGTTATAGGCCTGCAGGCAACACAGAGCATGTCCCCTTAGGAAAGGAGCCGGACACACGCTGTCCAGGAGGAAGGGGCAGTAAAAATTCTCTACCACCGTTCTAATGAAAGCTCTCTCAATACCATGCCAACCACGCTCCCCCTTCCGCCCCCCTGGCCGGTGCCTGCGGAACTGCCAAGGTGCACGCTCTGGAAGGGACAGTGTGAAATACCCCATTTTCCTCCTGCTGCTGTCCAGATTGCTTATACCTCCCCCTCTCGCCCCAGCGACTGGCACCGCAGCGTACGACTGCCCGGCTGACGCGTGCCCTTGTTTCCCTCGCGCGTAACTTGTCCGCTGCTGCTGCTGTGTAAATGCCACAAGTTACTAATTCGAAACAGGCTATTCTCGTTTGAAAACGATCAAAACGAATTCGTCCTGACAGCATGAATTATTGGGCTCAATACAGGGGTAATGGGGTTAATTTCTCCCGCCCGTGGGGGGCCAGACTAGAGGATCTGATGGTCTCTTCTGGCCTGAAGACCTGAATCTTTACAAAGAAACCTTGAAAAATTAGCCAAGCTTAAAAAAAGCGAGACATTGCCCAGCTGCCTACAAGGCAATGGAGAAGGGGCTACAACCTGCTGCAAACTCCCCTCCTTCCGTGTCTCGGACAGCACAGAGCACAAGATCTGTGCTTAGCCACGGGACAGCAGCCACTGTTTCAGAGCCTGACACCCCACCATCAGGCAGTGTGGTTAGCCCTATTGCGCACATGGCAGCGCTGGAAGCAAAGCCAACCTTGTTTCTTCACCAGCGATGTCAGGACAGTGTAGCCTTTAGATTAATTTGGAGTGCAAAATGCATGTCACTAGGCACAGGTGCCGTCTTTGGTGGCTACTCAGAGATGAATAGAGAGGATGATTGGTGTGACCCACAGGGACTTTAGGAGTTTTATTAACACCGCAATCAATGTAAGCCTAAATCACAGACTAGGAAACATGACAAGAACACCGGCAGACGCTGCGTCACATCCACTCACCAACCCCTGGGCCGGCGGGTTCCCCTGAAGGTGAGATGAAGTGTGAAGCTTGTCACCACCCTGTCATCCTGAGATCCCACTGAGGGGCCGGTTTGTCTCTCTCTTTAGGCCCCTGTTCTCTACACCCACCTATGTCCGAGACGATATTTGATTAAGTCTTGGCCTCTTGTCCATATCTGCCATCCCTGCTCCCCAGTTTGGGGATTGTAAGGCTTTGTGGAGACAGACGTTCTCTATACAGTGCAGTTAACGAGTCTGGCTAAATAAAACCTTTACAGCACAAGACAGCTATTTGCTAGAGCTTCGAACCCAAGGTTACTTACTAATTCTACCTTCTCTTAGGCTTAATGTAGCCTTATGCTACTACTAGGCCTCAAATACCAGGCTGCAGGCTCACTACCAAGCCTATTTTCAAATAATCTTTCCGTTTCTTTGCATGAGAGCTTTAGTTTCATGTGCGCTCATTCAGCCGGCATCTGAACTCTGTCTAAGATACAGAGTGTGTATTTTCCTGATCACATGAGCTCAGGTCATGGGTCAAAGGTCAACAGTAGACAAACTTACAGCTAAGTGCAAAGGGCTGACTGGGATGGTGCTTTCCACGTCCTCCAGGCAGTTAAAAGACATTTCCAGGAGCTGCAACAAAACAAGCCACGGTAAACTCGTCAGGTTGTACTGCTGCTCCGTTCTGGCCACCACGGGCAACGCCACCAGCGTGCTGTGCTGTGCGGCGCAGCTGGGATGTTGGAAACCAGCCCCCGACTGCACCAAAGCCAGGTGCTTGGAACCCGGTGTGGAAGCAGAGTTTTTCTCCGACACCGGAATGGAGAAATTCCTTTCATGGAGTAGATCTCCCCACTGCTTTCACTAAAGAGATCGGGATCGAGCGCCGAAGACATTTGAGTCCGATTCCTTTTATCTGGGCACTAGCCCCGTGCATCTCACCCGTTGGTGCACCCCAAATGGATTGCTTCATCATGGGTGTTTAAAAATGGCCTCACTGCTCTTCCCAACAGGAAGATGGCTTCCATGTACCCTGGAAGGGAGCCGTCTTCCAGGAGAGCACCTCAGTGCGTTTCTGAGACGCGCAGCACCCCAGTGCCCGTCGCTCACTGGCCTGCGGCTCCTCGGCTGAGGTTACCATCCTGTCTTTGGGAGCTGGCCTGAGATCCGGGCACAGCTGAGTGCACCAGTCACCAAGTCTCCTCTCTGCTCCCATCTTATCTTTTTGGGGGAACGGGCAAGCTGGCAAGCACCGGCTTCCCCTCCTCAGCCAGATCCGAGGAGGGGGACTAGGAGCCCTACACCATAATCCCAGTTCCTTCCTCCCTCGTCACACAGCTCCGCCCCCCACACTTTCGGCTGCAGCACTCGCCCCTGGCCACTCCCCAGAAGACTTCTGCCATACTCCTAGATTTAGCTGGGGAGGCTGAGCAGAAACTTCCCCACTACTTCTTCCTGGGAGCACTCCTCATTCGAGTCGCCTGTAAGCCAAAGGGCACCAGGCAGCTTCGACTGCCCCCCACCCCCGGCCTGCTTACCAACTCGAGGTTCTGTCTGTTGCCGTAGGCAGCTGCATAGTGGACAGCGGTGTATCCCTGCTTGTCCCGGAGCGACGCGTCCGCACCGTTATCCAGTAAGAACTCTAAACAACTGCAAGGGGCACAGGGGAGAGGCGGTGGTCAGACACGTGTTCCCACGGAAGCGCCTGCCAGGCCAGCTCTAATCAGCCAGCACAGATTCCAGGCAAACGCCAGATCCTCGCTGCCCAGCACACGGGGTGCGAAAAGGACTCAGTGTCCCCCCTGAAATTCCCGCTAAAGGCAATGAGAGCGCTGTGCCCCGGTACCCCAGCTAGTGAGGACTGGATCTGCCTCAAGGCACTTTTGAGCCAAGGGCAGATCCTTATTAAAAGTCAGTCACTCCAATGCCTGCTGGAGACGCCCCAGCGCACCGGCTCGGAGGGTGCCTCTTAGCTGAGAGCGGGTGGGGGAAGGGGAAATGGCGGGGTTCCACCAGTGCCATGGGAGACGGGACGGACGACAAACGTTATCCCCGAGCAGGGGGTTGAGATCGGTCACTCACAAGAATGCCTCCTTCACTCTGGACTCCTTCAGTGGCTCCTCGTCAGTGTCATGGCTGTTTCCTGAATGAGTCTCCGCTCTGAAAGATCGCAAGCCCGCGTCAGCTGGCTGAGACAAAGCCAGCGAGGGGGACGGGGAAGCTGGAGAGACCCCAGCCAGCTCGCAAACGCCCGGACGCTTTCCGCTCTTGGAAAGCCAGGTCCAGACCCACTCCCTGCAACAGCAGCCACACAGCCCTGGAAGAGCCTCTCTTCCGCCCCCGCCCCGCCGCACTAGGGTGAACGTCGGTTCTTTTGGACCCGTTTCCCGCTGCCTTCGTAGCAGAAGAGCATGCTGCACCACACGGGCCCGGCAGCATAAGCAGGGGGCTTTGTTCTTCATCAGTGATTTGTTTCTACCATCTTAGGACCAAGAGCTGAGAAAACCCTAAGGAAGCCTCCTCCTCAGCGGCAAGTCAGCATTATCCCTATTTCACACGCCTAGAGGGGAGGGGACTTGCCATCACCCAGCAGAGCTGGGAGCAGACCCCAGGAGTCCAGAGATAGGCACTGGCCTATCCTTCCTTTCCCTTACAATGCTCCTCCTCTTTAGAAGCCACCAGGCACCACCTCCCACCAGGGAGCTGCCGGGTACCCGCTCCAATCAGGAAGTACCACGGACCAGTCGGCTTAGGGCCCTGCCCTGTGGTCTCCAGCAGCAGCTGCTACGGGAGGCAGGTCCCTCGGGGCATTCCTACCTCCTGTACGTGTCCGAAGCAGCAGCATAGTGTAAGGGAGTGCAGCCTTTACAGTCCGTCTCGTTAATACTGGCTCCGGCGGTGACCAGCGTCACCGTACACTGATAGCTGCCATTGGCAGCCGCGTAGTGCAGTGGAGTCCTGGGGAGGAGAGCAGAAAACGGAGTGAGGAACGCCCGCCGCTATGCACAGCGGCTGCAAACCCAAGGAGACGGCAGCCTCACAACGCAGAGACAGCTGCAGCCAGGCCCAAGTGACACCCACGCACGGCACAGCAATATCCAACCCCCCCGATAGGCTACGCGGCTCCCCCTTGGGGCAGCAGCAACTCTCCGAGAAGTGGAGCTGGGCTCCCGGGGGGGGAGGAGGGGACACTGATATGGGTGACTTCTGCTCTGCGAGCACCTTCAGGGCAGGACAAGCCCCTGCCGCCCACTCACGCCCGCCGATCTTCCCAGCCACAGGGGCTCACCGCCCTAACGCCCAGCTCTCTGTCCCCCGGCCCCGAGGGCACGATTGTTCACAGAAAACTTCTCTCTGCCCCTTCACACGGGTGTGCCGCCATCAGTACTTACCTTCCAAATTTATCTCTCCTCCTCAAGTCAGCACCGCTGCTCAACAGCAAATTAAGACATTCAACGTTCCTGTAGAGGGAACAGAGGGGAAACCCGCTGAGAGGGGCTGGGTGGAACCTGAACGCCGTCCCTCTTCCGGTCAGAGCTGGCTCTCTGGGACTGCTCTGCCTAACACGTGGCCTGCGCCTGCCTGCAGCCCATTTTCACATTTGTAAGACAAGAGAGTACGATCGAGCGCCCTGCCCGTCCCCACTGCCATGGTGTCTAGACGACCCACTGCACTGGGGGCTGCCCGTATCACTAGCAACTCTCCAGCTCTCCAGGAACACGCTTGTGCCTCCATTTCTCTCTTCCCTCTGCAGCGACTGGGAATCGTATCTAGGTATTCGCAACCTGGCTGGATGGGTAATAAAACTCAACCCCTGCCACTAGCATGATCTAGGCATTGGATTTCATGCTACGAATAGGATCTACGACTCCTGGGTGCTGTTCCCGGCTGGGCCCCTGACTTGCTGATTGAGCGGAGGAGAAGCAGCATTCCCGTGAGCCCCTCTTTCCCCACTGAGATGAGAGCTGTGCAACCCGCTCGCAGGGCTAAGCGCTCTCCGTCAGCGCCGGCATGAAATCAAACTGTAGTGGGCCACGCGAACTAAACGCACCGGGGAAATACAATTCATTAGTTACCAATACTTCGCATTCACTCTTCAGAGTGCTTTACCAACATGGCCCATTCCCCCTTACAATACCCCCTGGGAGGCAGGGAAGCATTTTAAACATGGGGAAACTGAGGAACAAAGGTAAGTGACTTGCCCAGAGGCCCGGCGCGTTCACAGCGGAAGCAGGAATCAAAAGGCTCAGCTCTCCCAGGCTCTGCTCTAGACACTAGCCCCCATTTCCCTCCCAGAGCCGGGAACAGAACCCAGATGAGCTGACCCCCCAATCGTGTCCTGACCACTAGACCACACTGCCTACGTTATACACTGCAGTACGCAGACAGGAGGCAGGCTGCGTTTGGGGCTAAAGAACTTGACGTCCCCGTGACAGGGCGAAAGCAGCGGCAGTCGCCTCTCCCTAGAGGGCTGCCGGTGAGCCCGGAGTGATGCCCGGGGCAGGGACTCACCCTCCAGAAGCAGCAGCATGGAGGCACGTCCTCCCAAGGTTGTCAGGCGTGTTGATATCGAAACCCGCGGACAGCACGTGTTCGTTGCTCAGTGAGGAGACGATGCTGTACAGCTGACCTGTGGGGCAGGAGGAGACGGGTCAGGCGAGGACTCGCCAGGCCCCCCCAGCCCAGGCTACCCTCCCCCTCCACATCCCTCCAAGCCACCCCAGGCTTTGCTCACCTGAGGAAAGTAGCTTACGACAACAGTCTGAAAATCCAAAGAGAACAGCTAAGTGCAGAGGGAACATGTCGTGGATTCCACGCCTGCCAACAGGGAGAGAGGGCGGATAGGAAAGGAACAGTTACAGCTCGCTGCCCTCTGAAGCCCTAGCCCCAGCTAGCAGACAGTCCTTCCTCCTGTCCCCCTGACGTGGGGGTCTCCTGATGGTGGAGAAGGAATCCTACCCCATGCCAGCCTGCAGGCTCTCCCATCAGCCCTCCCTACCCTCAGCAAATTTCCTTCCGCACCGCAGCAGAGCCTGAAGCTAGACAGGCCCATGGGATGACCTAGTCTAACGCAGGCCGTTCAGGTGCCCCCACAGAGCCCTCTAGCAAGCCCAACCACTATAGTTAGATCAAAACATTTCAGTCCTCAGGAAAATCAACCAGTGTCTCCAGTTCTCCGCCTGTGGCACGAAGGGCCCCCCCCCGCCCAAGGCCCGTAGGGGAGACATGAGCGATGATCCAGCAAGCGAGCCGGGCGCCATGCTGCAGAGGAAGGCGAAAACGCCCCAAAGCCCCCGCCAATCTGACCTAGGGGGGGAATTGCTCCCCTGCCCCAAATCTGGCGATCGGTTTGACCCAGGCACATGAGCAAGAGCCGGCAGCTAAGAAGGCTTCTCCGCTCTGCCTCTGAGCACGGGTCTAACCGGTCCCGTCTCCAGCCGTGGAGAATCGCTGATGCTTCAGAGAAAGGCAAAAAAAACCCAGAATCCCTCACGTCAATTGCACATCAGGGGGAAAACTGTCTCCCACTGGATGAGCCCGCCCCCCGCTCTCTGCCCGAGTGCACCTCCCGCATCGCCACACCCCGGCGAGAAGGGGGTTCATCCTGGAGGCCTCCTCACCTTGCAGTGTCAGCACCATTCGTCATCAAAGTACTAATTAGCAGCTCGTGGCCGTATCTAGCAGCAACATGGAGGGGGGTATTGCCATATTTGTCAGCACAGTCTATCTCGCTGCCTAGAAAAGAAAGCAAGAAGCAGCCGGCTTGGTGGGGAGTTTCTGGCTCAGGCAGCCCAAGACCTGCTCCCCCTCGTTCCCCGCGGAGGGCTGCGGAGCATTGCACCGAGACAGCGTCACGCCGCCGTTCTCCTGGCAGAAGGCCCAACCTAACTGCTACCGTAACCCACGGATGAGTGTGTGTGACAGCCCTCCTCCCCGCTCCCCACACACCTCCCCCATGCCTGATCTGCAAAGCGTCTGAGTGCGTCGCAGCCCCAGCTATGGAGCCCGGGCGCTTTATGCAGCTCCTGCGTTTGGCTCGGGCGGTCCCCGGTTCAGCCCTGGCCGCAGCCGCCAAGACAGCGGCTGGCACTGGACTCAGAGGACGATTGTCTCTGGTGGCAGGATCTAGCAGCACTGACAGCTCTTTGGCCCTGAGCTTCCATGCGGCTGGAATTCCAGCTTGGTGCGCCACGAGAGCGAAGATCCAGACCGAACACGCGTCTCCCTGTGAGGGGTGGCTGTTCAGCTGGGGAACGGAGCTGATTTTGGGGGTGGGGGGGAGGCAGGGCACTTCATTCCCCTGGCAGACGCTATTAAACACTGAAACAAGGAGAGAGGGATGGGGTGCCCGGGAGGCACCGGTTGGTGAGAGAGCTGGAGTGAAATGCCCGGTAGGAGAAGAACATTAGCTCAGCATCCAGAGAGCCACTTACCGTTCTGTATGAGGATCTGAGAACGTGTAAACCGTCCGTGAATGGCAGCCATATGCAAAGGGCTCTTCCCTTCCTTACTCTGCAGAGAGAGAGAGAGAGAGAAAGAGGGGGTGGAACTAGCCAGCTGGTGACACTGTCCCCGAGCTCAGCGATTGAGGGGTGAAAGTCCCGTCCGTGCCTGGAAGATCCCGTGTGTCTGGGTTCCGAACTCCATCCTTCCTCCCCACACCCACCTGAGTTCATCCCACCTGCCGCCCCTGCCTGTCTCGTGCGCGTGGTCCGGCCCCGGCCGGCGTACCTGAAAGTTCACGTCGGCTCCATTGTTCACAAGGAGCTCCAGGCAAAGGGCCCCGTTGGTGGAGACGGCAGCAAAGTGCAGAGGGGTGAAGCCCTTCTCGTTGGGCTGATTGACGTTGGCGCCGTAGTTGACCAGCTCATTGGCCACGGCATCCTGGCCCATGTAACAGGCGATGTGAAGTGCAGTGTTCCCAAGGCAATTGGGTTCATCGATCTGCGGGAACGAACAGAGCCGAGAGCCTTCAGGGGATCTCGGTCACGGATGGGCTGGGACTGGCCAAGAAAGGGGGTGGGGAGGGGAGCCCATTCTACCGAGAACCAGACGCCATCAATCCCTGATCTCCTCCTCCACACATTCCCCATCCATGCCCAATGAGTCACCCACCCCCCATTCCCCTCAGTGCCCGGGGACCCCCTCAAGTCATCACAGGAAACAGAAGCAAATGCTGACTGCTCAGCACAGGAGATGAAGAAAAGTCCCAAATCCAACTGAAACAAGGGCCAAACACTGTTAACTCCAGGGGGAATTTGGGTAGGACAATGTCATTAACTCCCCTAACTCTTGGGGAAAGCACTGGTGGATCTTTAAAAAGCACAAGTGACCAGGGCCTCAGTTTTCCCTCTCTAGCGTCAAGTCCAGCAGCATCCCGCTGGGATCCGTGCAGCCCCAGTGGGTGACAATGCCCACTCACTCCCCCCATGACAGCCAGAGAGTTTCCAGCACCCCCACGGATTTCACCCATCCAAGGACTAAGGCCGCACACTCTCCCGGGACATCTCCCAGCGTCTGCCTACACCCAGCGCCTTCCTTAGAGTCCGCAGAGCAAGCGGAGCCATGATCCCGCAATGGCACTGGACTGGAGTTGGCCACGTTCGTTTGCCAAGCCGCCGCTGGCCTCACCTCGACTCCCAGCCTCAGCAGGTGTTTCACGACCTCGACCTGGCCACTGGCTGCCGCGGTGTGGAGCAAGGTGTAACCCTTCTTATCCTTGCACATGACGTCAGCTCCCCGGGCCACCAGCAGCTTCAGAACTTCCAAATGCCCTGCGCAAAGGAAACAGGAACTCAGGGCTGCAGCACCTCCGCGGCCGGTGAGTCCTGAGCACGGCAGCGATGGGGGCTTCAGGGTCGATACGCGGCCACCAGACACAGGACTGGGACCCGCCATCGCGTTCCACGGAACAGCCACCTGGGCGGCCCAGAGGGGGAAAGATTCCCCGCCCCCCAGCCATGCCATGAAGCTTGCTAACAAGGCGATTCAGATAGAAATGTCTTAGTTTGACTTCACTTGCTCCACATGGGATGGGCAGGGGCTTGGATACGTGGATCAAGAGCTTTGTCTAGCCTCCGTATCCTCCACTGAAATGCTGTAACTCCCTGCAGTTCAATCCTCCTGTCCCTTTGACACCAACACCAGCAGTGGAGGGGACCTGCTTTTCCCTGGCCGCGCAGCGGTGGCATAATATTAGCGCCGTCCCCCGGTGCAGCGCCGTCACTGGCCACGGCCTGCTAATGCCAGCAGGACTTGGGCCTGACAGCAGTAAGAAGTGGCACGAGGCTGCCCCCTGGCTGTCACTGTCCAGACTTTGCTCCCCCATAAGTTAGGGGGGAGAGAAGAGGCTGTATGTCATAGGGCGTACCTGCCCTGTAGCACCCCCTCCCTCAGTTTCCCATCACCCCCTCTGGGCTGCCTTTCATGGGTAGAGCCTTGATGCCCAGGCTACTTCCCTGGGGTCCTCCCAGCCCCTAATTTAGGGCCTTCCCCACCAACCTGAGTTCTCTGCCATCACCTGACCCCAGGGAGCCCTACTCCTGAGGCCGGGAGGTAGCTACCTGTGGCACAAGCGGACTGAGCAATCCGGGCTGGCTGGCCCCCAGCCTCCTAGCCTTTGCGGGGCAGGCCTCCCCATTACACCTTCGTAACGTGCTTTTGCATACGAAAGGTGCCACGCGCCCTCCCAAGTCCAGCGTCTCCCCCACCCCCTTGCAGCCACACACTGATGGGCGAGTCCAGAAAAGGGTTCTCCTCCCACCCTGCCTGCCAGATCTCGGCTGGCTCTGTCCCTTCTCCTCCCACACGGCAAGCCACGTGATGCCAGGCCCGGGACAAGAGAGATCTGGAGCCCTGGCTGCCGAACGAAGATCACACGGGAGTCAGGCCCAGGTGCTGAATGACACCCGAAGAGCTCACAGCTGCAGGGGGAGGGGACGGTTTTGAGGTTCTATGTGCAGAACTGGTGAGACTGGGGGGAAGGGGAGAACACCCATGGCGGTGTGCCCCCCAGCCCAGACTCACTGCCTGTGCCACTAGCTGTATCCACAGGGGAGTCCCAAAAGGGGACGCTGGGGAACTGGGAAGTACCTGTATCAGAACAGGGCCAGCTAACAAAGGGACAGACAGGCAAGGCACGAGGGAGATGTACCTAGGAAGGCTGCCCAGTGGATGGGCTGACGCTCCTTCTTGTCACACGTGCTCAGGCTGGCCCCCTTGTTTAAGAGCAAGTTCACCACCTGGAGGAGAGAGGAAGCAGTCAGAGGAACGGCTCCCACCAAATTCCGCCAGCCCCGTCCCGGCACACACGAGAGCCTCGCGCCTTCTGCAGCCCCTGGAGCGACGGGGCCCAGCTGGCCTCCAGGCACTGCCACAATTTAAAGGTTTCCTAGCAGTAGCTGAACCTGGCCAGCCGGGGGTGCGGCCGGAGGTCAGTCAGACCAGAGAGGGCTCTCTCCAGACAGGCGAGCTGGTTCAGAGGGCAGGAAACAGATGCTGCCTGTTGGGGGTCCATGGTAGAGGATTTCTCTCCGAGGCTCCTGCCCACGGAGCGCAGGCATCTAAGGACGAACCCCCAAGTCCCGAGCGCCTCCTCCCTCCGGACCACCCGCCCGCCCCCCCTCAGGGAGGAACACGCAGGTGCGGGCCGCTCACCTCGATGTGGCCGCTGTGCACGGCGTGGTGCAGCGCCGTGCGGCCGGTGCGATCTGCCACGTTCACACTGCTCAGCAGGGGGATGATGGCCTCCGCGCACTTGGTGGCTCTGTTGGCAGCGGCGACGTGGAGCGGCGTTTGCCAGTACTTATCGCGGGCGTTGACGTCCGCCGAGTGCTTCAGGAGGAGGTTAAGTGCCTTCTGCCAGGACAGAGAAAGGGTGGCTGTACCCCACGCCGGTGGGGGCAGACAAAGCCTCAGGAGCTAAGCAGCACCATTCGGTCTTGAAATTAAACCAAGTAGCCGGGGTGAAGGGGCAGGTTCATCACTAGCAACGCGTCTGGTTACCCTACCCGCCTCTTAGATCGGTAACGGCAGCCCACCGCTCGCCCAGGGACTACAACTCCCAGCATGCAATGCTTCATCTTGAGCCCCGCTGCTGGATATCGGAGTGGGCCAAGCTGGTGTGGGAAGGCTGCGATTTGGTTGGGTTTGCACACCGCACTCATCACCACGGCTGCCAGTTTGGGCAGCTCCTTGCCCGTCCTCTTCCTTTTTCAATGCCACCCTGCCGAGACGCAGCCTGCTGCAGAAGGCTGGCTCTGTCGGGGAGTGAGACTGGCCCTCCAAAAAGGCCTGGCGGCGTTTTAAAACTGGTGTAACGATCACACGTTAGCCAGGATGGTACAAAACCCTAGTGCAGGCAGGGCACGCTGTAGCTTAACACATGTTAGCCGGCTGACACCCGGTAACGTGCCCTGTCTCCACAACGACAAGTGTGCTGGCTATCACGTGTGAAACACACCCCTGTTTTCCTGGGGCCGAAGCAGCTGAGCAGCCTACGATGGGCTCATCTCTGGGGCGAATTCTATCCGCACCTCCAAAAACACTGCCCTGACCATTCAGCCCAACCGCGCCTGCCCAGAAGCAGCCTGGGACCGGAAGGGCTGGGAGTCAAGGTTTGCCCTTCGGGACCGGGGTGCTAGCTGGCAGAGTTGGCTGGGGCAGCGGGCGCTGTACCAGGCACTAGCTAGCGATACTCGTATTAGTCCTTCATTTCATTGCATGATTTTTCTTTTTTAAAACCACTGAAATCTAGACAGAGCCACGAGCAGTCGCCGATGATAGACAAGATCCCACAAACAGAACACTGAGGGGCCCCAGGCTGGGGTCTTCAAAGGCCCCTGCCCGCCCCCCACCAGATGGAATTTCAATGGGTGCTGGGCACCTAAGTCCCTTTGGCTTACCAGGACATCTGAGCCTCACACCGTGGGCAGCTGGGCCTTCACAAGACTACGCCTATCTCACCCTAGAGTGCCTCCTACTGGTCAGTGACAAGCCTCAAAGGGAGGTTAACTTATCGTCACTAAGCCGTTCCAGTAAGAGGAAAAGATGCTGCCCCTGACCCAAAGCCCCTGCTGAGAAAGGAAGAGGTACGTCCTTGAAAAACAACTCGGACAGCTGGCTAAACCACTGAACCGACCTACTGGAGCCAGACAACGTGTGAACGACCGAGGCCCTGAAATCAGGCAGGGAAGCTACAAAATGAGATGCTTTTTAAAGCTTCATTCTCCAGCCAAGCCCCTCAGGGATCTGACGCTAGCTACATCCGCCTTCGTGCAGGGAGCAGCTGGCACTGTTCCTCTAGAGACCCCCTCTGCCCACAAGCCGTTCCACTTCAGCTTTGCTTCTCCAAACCGTTAGCATGCAAGAGTGATGCCTCTAGAATGGACAGCGTGTTCCTCCTCAGCAGGGAACAGCAGAGACCTCCCCATGCCTCCGACTCCAACCCGAGTCCCTGGCCCTGATGAGATCCCCTCGTTCTTCCTCACTCCGGGGGCTGGCGGCTTGCAGGATTCTTGGGAGCATGCAGACGGAGCACGCGTCCCAGAATGCTGCTTTGTGTCCTCACGTGGGCATTGGCCAGGAAAGAACACTCCTTTGCCCTGGGCCTTTCATGGTGGAATCGTCCTGGGGGGCTCAGGGTGGGCCATGGACTGTCTAGGTGGCAGGTTCGAATCCAGCCCAGCTCGGGAGCGACCAAAAGGCTCGTGAACTGTTTGGTGGCCCTTGCAAGAAGTTTCTCGGTGTAGTTCCCAGAGGGCAACCAGCCACCTTCCAAATCACAGCAGCAGCTGCCGCCCTCCACCAGGCTCCCGCTGGCAGCCTCAGCCAAGGACTGACTGAGCCCTGGAGACCGAACTCCCCTCTCACCCCTTAAGAAGGCCCCCCCAAAAAGTCACACGGGTGTGCAGAGCAGAAAGGCCCCTTCCAAGGGGCAGGACTGAGAGCAGAGAACGAGGCACTCCAACGGAGCAATGGTGGGGACAAGAGAGACCCCAGCACACCCTCAGCATGCACCGCAGCCCTCAAATCCAAAGCCAGGACCCAGAACAGGGTTGCGATTGCCTGCCTGGAAACATCCCCAGCGCTGGGATAGATTCCATGGGGGAGCTCTTCAAAAGCACCTAAGAGATTTAGATGCTCAAGTTCCATTGAGGGCCAGTGGGATTTGTGCTCCTAAATGCCTTCAGTGCCTTTGAGACGCTCCCCACTCCTCCTCTGTTCTAATACGATTAGCAGGAATTCTCCCGCTGCCCAGGACTCGCGGGGTTCTTCCTCTTTGCCGTGGAGTTCTGCCTTTCTCTAGCCCATCTCAAAGGGCTTTGCCAACAATGCACCCCACAACCCCTCTGAAAGGTAGGCTGGCTACTACCCCTATTCCAGACGCAGCCGAGCCTAGGACACTGAGGGACAAAGCAGCTTGCACGTTAGTGACAACGTTCAGCTTTCCAGTCCCCTGCTCCGGCCGCTAGACCACAACGCTCCGCTCTCCCTCAAGCCGTCCGTACGTCAATTGGCTTCCACTGCCGCAAGGGAGGTTTAGGTTGGACATTAGGAAAAACGTCTTGTCAGGGTGGTCAAGCACGGGAATAAATTGCCCAGGGAGACTGTGGGATCTCCATCACTGGAGATTTTTAAGAGCAGGTTGGACAAACACTTGTCACGGATGGTCTAGAAAATACTTAGTCCTGCCATGAGTGCAGGGGACTGGACTAGATGACCTCTCGAGGGCCCTTCCAGTCCTACGATCCTTTGATTCTATATTTGTTTGGCCAACCTCTGCCACCCACGTCACAACCCTGTGACCAAAACAAAAGCCCCCCTTTCATAGCATCTCTGCCCAGAACTGGACCGAACTGGCTAGCGATGAAGGAGCTCGGATGTTTCCCTCCGGGTACAGATCTCTTGGGAACTAGCACAGAAAGGAACTGAGAATAAAGTGGCAATTTCACGATGTTTCAGTTCAAAGTTTTAAATCTTTGCTAAAGTTTCGCGGGGGATATTTGAGCGGGGAAGGCGAGCACTCGCCAACACTTGCTCACGAAACTGCAGAAAGGACGGGGCACGGAGGAAGAAGAAATTTCTGAGACACCTAATTGCTACACCTGGCATACAAGAGAAACTCCCATCAGTAGCTAGCATGTGGGACGCCGGGGGGAGTCGCCGGGTACAAAAGCCCCTTTTTTAGCGCTCAGGAGTCACTGAATAGCCTGGCACCTCCAGCCTGTTCTGCTGCCCATGATGTTAGCAGCCACCCTTGTGTACTATGCACGCTGACAGATTCAATTCTGTTCATCCACGGGGGAACTGTGCTTGACCTTTATCATTGTCACAGGAACACGCTGGAAATCAATGCAGAGAGCTGCACGTGAGGAAAGATTTAACTAGGCATACCTTGGCTAAACAACATTATCGGGGGCCCGCTGCTGACGGTACTGCCACTGCCTGCAAAGAAACTCATGTGCCCAGACGTGACTGCAGAAGTGAGCCCTCGGAGGGGGCAGACGTGATACTAGCAGATAGCTGAAAGGTGTAAGCATCACGGTGGGAGGGGAATTGGCTAGGGCGGTCCCAGGAGTATTATTACAATTAATAAAGTGAAGTTAAGCCCAGGGAAGGCTGAATATCAGGAAATACTTCCTGACAGTGAGATCCATTAGGCTGCGGCATCGTCTCCTAAAAGAAAGAGGTGGGAGCCCCACCACTTGGGGCATTTAAAACAAGACAAAGCCCTAACGGGAAGATATTGCAGGGAGAACCCATGTACTGGGGGTGGAGTAAAGGGAATATTATGGGTCTTTCCCAGTTCTGTTTTCTATTTTTCAAATTATGATGGGGTCTGGATGGTCCTTTATCTGCGTCGAAAGAGAACATCCAGCCCCCCAGGGCTCTCAGCTGGACTCAGAGCAGGCATGCAGACAGCAGGGGGAAGAAAACAGTTACTCCAAAAAGAGCCAAGAGGAGACGGACCGATTCATTACTGTGAGGCTTGCAAGGGCACCTACCTCATTGCGAGAAGCTGCGGCGCGATGCAGCGGGGTTAGCCAAACAGTGTCCTTTGCATTTACGTTAGCACCTGAGGAGACGGAGCAGAAAGAGGAGGTGAACACATCTGGGCAAGGGGCACTGCCAGGGTACAAGACTGTCAGATGCGCCAAGGCACCATCACTGTTTTTAAACACCCACTGCTGTATCTGCTTGGTTAGACAGCGTGTCAATTTCTTCGGTTAAAGAAGGAAACGGATTGAGCTTTAGGGCTGGTCTACACTTAAAAGTTAGGTCGACACTTAAAACTTCACACCTCGGAGCCAGTAGTTAAGCCAATCGAAACCGCACTGTAGACACAGCTGGGCTGATGGAAGAATTGTACCTACATCCACAGACCCCTTCTGTCACTGTAGCAAAGGTCTAGACCAGGGGTCCCCAACGCGGTGCCCGAGGGTGCCATGGCTGGGGCATCTCTATGCACCCGTGTACTGGCCGCCAGACAAACAGCCGCCGGAATGCCACCAAGCGACGCCTCTTGATGACGCTGCTTCTCGGTGGCATTTCGGCGGCAACGCTTCTTTGCTTGCCGCTTCTCGGCGGCATTTTGGTGGCTGCTTGTCCGGCGATCGCGCTGCTCGGCGGCTAGTCGTCCGGCGCCCGCCCCACGGAAAGGTTGGAGACCACGGGTCTAGACTGTGGTGCTACTGTAGCGTAGCTCTACCCTTAGTTTAGATGCTACAAGACATACGCTCCGGCACCAAGTGGAGCAGCTACGTGCAGCAGAGGGAATGCAGCACTGAGGTAGATGGAAAAAAACTACATTTCCCAGCACACACTGCTCCACCTTCATCTCAGTGGCCACAAGACTATCAGTCCCAGAATGCAGTGCGTCATCTTGTTCTAAAAGGAGGCTGCTCGGACAAAGATGGTGCATTTCATACTGGAATCTGTAGGTCTGTGTACAGGTGAAGGAGACCAGAGCCGCACTGCAGGAGTCTGCAGGCCTGGCTTTTGTCATCCCTGCTCTGCCGTCTCAAGATTCTCTGTGCCAGCCTAGGACTGTCAAAACCCAGCGTAGAGCTGTCCTGCTCTTCCACGCCACCAGCAAACTGCTGACAAGTCAAGGGCATCTGGAGAGAGCAATGACAATGAATGTCAGATTAGGGGCCTTTTTTCTCCCATCTATGGCGTGCAGAGAGCCAGCCTGGACGTAGATTTGAGCCGTTTCAGAGGAAAATGGAGGGGCTGGTACTTTGGGTTAGAGCCAAGTATGCAGCAGGCAGGTGCTGAGCAAAATTCTCTAGTCCTCATCCCACACCCAACAAATGATCCAGATCTGCGGCTCCCCACCCCACTCCTGCAGTTCGAGGCTTCCCCCCAGCCAGTTCTGTCACTATCCTTCAAACCTGACCCACAGCCCCTGCTATCCCAGCCCTGGGCTCCCCCCATAGAACTCGATCAATGCCCCTCAGTCCTGACCCACAGCCCCCCAGTATTACAGCGGTAGGCTCCCACCGAACTCTGCCATTGCCCCTCAATCCCAATTCACTGCTCCCCTCACCAGGTCTGCAGGTGCCCCTCAATCCCAACCCACAGCCCCCTAACTCCCAATATTCCAGTGCCAGGTTGTTTTAAGATTTGCACAAACCTCCTCTTGGCATCTGGGGGAGAGCAACTAATGACATTTCCTTTGTGACTCAAGCACCAATTCTCCTGTGGATGAAAAACCCTTGTACCCCCATGCCCTTGAGCAGCAGCCCTTCCACGTTAGACCCACAGGAGGACCAGGCTGGCTAAACCTGAGCACATCCATGCAGCCGGCTGTACTGGGCAGAGACAGTTGCGGGTCTTACCTGACAGTATTAGGAGCTCAATGATTGGGACATCTCCTAAGTAGGCAGCAGCATGCAGTGGGGTTCGTCGTTCTTGGTCCTGCCCAGGGAGATAAGAAAAGACCGTGATGCAACTATCCACACAGCAAACACCGCTCCTTCCCCATCCAACTTCCCCCACCCTAAAGACCCAAATGCTGCTTCCTGCCCTGAGGACATCTGGGTAAGTCTAAGTGATGGAGGAGTCTGCTTAGGACCAGCAATAACAGACAGCTTGGTGGGGAAGCAATGGACTACCTTTCATACCGCAGTCTGCTTCAGGGTATCTGTCAGGTGGAGCAGGGACCGGGGGTCAGGAATCCAGGGGTCTATTCCCAGTTCGGGGAGGTGAGTGGGGGCTAGTGGTTCGAGCAGGGGGCTGGGAGCCAGGACTCTCAGGTGGCTAATTTCTAACTCCGTCACCTTGGACAAGTTACTTCACTTCCTCCCTGCTCCAGCTTCCCTAAACAGAGATAGCATCTAGCTCGCAGGGTTATAAAGCTTAATGAAGGTTTGCAAAGCGCTTGGAGATCCCTACATGAAAGGTTTATAAAACCACCAAGCAGTCTTACCCCGGTGCGCCGCATACCCTTCACACACCCCGTCATTCTATGTCAAGTGCCAAGAACAATAAAAGCCTGCGAGCACCGGGAGCAGCTCCCAAAACGCACCAAGCCCAAGTGACTGGGAGAGGCTATAAAGGTGCAGGAAGCACAGCGTAGATAAGATCAGTTTTCTTCGCTTGGTGCTGGGCCCTGGGTAACCTCGTCCTTGAGGCATTTGGCTCAGTCTCGGCAAACACCAAGTGGGTTAGAGGGGCACAGAAGAGAGATTGAGGTCCCACCTTTTAATTGCATTTAATGAAAGTTGTATTTTTTTTCATTAAGTTAAACAAGAAAATAAGGAGAGAGAATCAAGACAACGACTGGTAGGACTGGCAAACAATCTGGAGAAGCAGAAAGTGAAACTGACCAATCTCATTCCCAAGTGAAATCAGCACCCGAAGAGATACGTGCGTTAAGTGTTAATCAGTCTCTCGTTTTTCGCGCCACAGAGCAAAGGCATTTTAGAGAAAGGATGATTCTGATCAACTCCCTTTAAAGAGAAGAGACTATAGAATTATCACGTCCTTGAACGAGGCAGCCAAGGAACAAAGTCTCCTGATCCCTTTGTAACATGTCAAGATATGATCTAACCATTAGTCCCAGTGGCTGGCACCAAAATCAGTGCGGGGCCTCCCCTCTGAGCCAGCACAGAGCCCCCGATGCTCGACCCAGACCCATGCTGCTCCCGTGCACTATTCATTCAGGGGACACAACAGTGCTAGCCCCGTGCGTGCTGCAGCATGGACAGAAAGAGGCTGAAGCATTCGATGCAATGGCCAAGAGCGTGCGGAAAATATAGCAGTAGGCCAGAGCACAGCTGGGAGCAGCATGCAGTGTGAAAACCTCATTAATGCCCCACAGCCTATCAGAGAGTCAGATGCTGAACCAGACTCAGCCACTTACCCAGAACCCATGACACTGACCTAGAGACACAGCCTAAAAGAGCAAGTAGTCACTGATCCAGAGCCAATCCCCAGCGCCACACGCTGACAGACAGCTAGGCTGAGCCAGTCATTTGTTGTTAACAGTGAGGGTCGGCACTGGGATAATTGACATGGGGTCGTGGCAGTTTTCAAATCGAGGTTGGATCCGCTCTAGTCCAAGCAGGAAGTGTTTCAGGGCAGCTCTCTGGCCTGTGTGATTCAGGAGGCCAGATCGGATGATCGCAGTGCTCCCCGTTTCTGGCCTTGGAATCTATCCACCGGCCTACCCGACAGACGGAGACACCCCTCTCAGCCATACACCTGCCACTGGTTTGTTCGCAGGAATCTTGGAAGCCAGATGAAGGGAGCGTTTGCATCCAAGTCTGATTGGAACATTTGCATGCGGATTTTACACTCCTCTTCCTCAGAGCTGGCTATTCAGGTTACATCACGGGCCACGATCGACCCAGGAGGCCGCTGAAGCAAGGGCACTCAAAATGAGCGTTTCTAGTAGGGACAGGGAGGTGCTGCTTCCGTTATACAAGGCGCTGGTGAGACCTCACTTGGAGTACTGTGTGCAGTTCTGGTCTCCTATGTTTAAAAGGGATGAACTGAAACTGGAACGGGTACAGAGAAGGGCAACTAGGATGATTCGAGGAATGGAAAACCTTTCCTATGAAAGGAGACTCGAGGAGCTTGGTTTGTTTAGCCTAACCAAAAGAAGGCTGAGGGGGGATATGATTGCTCTCTTTAAATATATCAAAGGGATAAATACCAGGGAGGGGGAGGAATTATTTCAGCTCAGTGCTAATGTGGACACGAGAACAAATGGATATAAACTGGCCGTGGGGAAATTTAGGCTTGAAATTAGACGAAGGTTTCTAACCGTCAGAGGGGTGAAATTTTGGAACAGCCTTCCGAGGGAAACGGTGGGGGCGAAAGACCTCTCTGGCTTCAAGATTAGGCTAGATAAGTTTATGGAGGGAATGGTTTGATGGGATTACGTGATTCTAATCAATTAGGCAATAACGGCCATCGCTGGTCAAATGAGGGTCTGGCTAGAGAATCTTGCCTGTATGCTCGGGGTTCTGCTGATCGCCATATTTGGGGTCGGGAAGGAATTTTCCTCCAGGGTAGATTGGCAGTGGCCCTGGAGGTTTTTCGCCTTCCTCCGCAGCATAGGGCAGGGGTCGCAAGCTGGAAGATTCTCTGCGTCTTGAAGTCTTTAGATCACGATCTGGAGACTTCAACAGCAGAGCTAAGGGAAAGTGGGGGGGTCAGCTTTTGTGGCCTGCATCATGCAGGGGGTCAGACTAGATGATCATATTGGTCCCTTCTGACCTTAAAGTCTATGAGTCTATGAGCTAGAAGGATGCATCTGACTGGCAAGAGAGTGAACGAACTGGCAGCTGCTATTCGTCCTGAAGACGGGGTGTGGCCTGAAGACTGCAGGCTGCAGCATTCAATATGGCATCTTCATCCAAAGGGCCAACCCCCCCCCCACAACTCAATCTGGACCACTGCATTCTGGGCCTGGCAAGCCACACCTCCTTACCCAAGGTGAGAACAGCCAGGTGGTAGCACCTGCAAGGCTGCATTTCGGCCAGCCCCACCCTGCTCGGGTGTACTCTGCAGCCAGATTTAAAAGAGGGGCAGTGAAAGTGCATCTGTATTCCTTGGGACGTGAGCTCTGCTCCACCCACCAGGCCAGCCTCAACACAGACAGCTCAGCCATGCTCTCATCCGACTATGCTGGACCTCTCTTCCAAAGGAGAGCAAGGGATGCTGGGGATGCAGCCAAACTAGTCCCAGTTCACTGCCCTTCCATTCACCTGCAGCCTTCAAACGAAGAGCAGAAAACCGACAAGACACTGCATTGTCCGAACGCTTTATAAATAGCAGGTAAGTCTCCCAGTGACTAGGATGTACCATTAACCCCATTTTACAGATGGGGAGAGGGAGGCCAGGGGACAAAGGCCCAGTATTTTAAAGATATTTAGGCATCCCAAGGCCGACCTAAGTCAGTTAGGTGTTGCAACCCCTAAATACCTTTCAAAATCTGAGCCAAAGTTGCAAAGCCAGGAATCGAACCCAGGAGCCTTGCCTCCAAGTTGCTACTCTAACCACTGGATCACACTGCAGAAAAGATTCTCGCTCGCTTACCAGAAGCGTAACAGTTCCACCCTCTCTGCTTTGGCTACACAAGCATATTTCAGAGGCAAAACAGAGGAGGACAGGTCAATCTGAGACAGGAGCGTCAGCATGCCACGCTAGACCAGGCAGCTGCTGCTCCAGCACTCACCAATATATTGATATTCTCTTTCTGGTTCAGCAACGACCGCACCTCCTCTATATCGCGGTTGAAGATGGCTTGGACCAGAGGAGGCTGCAAAGAGAAAGACACTCAAGCTGTGAAGCAGGTAAAATGAATGTGCAAGGACAGGGACGGGAGGATGGCCGGCAACATCATTCATATACCCCAAGACCAGCCCGACAAGTTAGTCACCTCACGCCACCTGGGTTTGTTTGGGGCTCCTGCTTCTATAGCAAACGCAACATCTACTGAGCCATTCTAGTGAGCTGCAGCTGTGGAGACAGGCCCAGCTGTGGCATCTGACAGGAATTCTCCCCCACTCCTTGCAGCTGAAGGCTTTTAATATTTATACAAGTCAATTTCTGTTTAAAAAAATAAAGAGAGAGAGAGAGGCTGCTGCTTCTGCAAGGATTAAAAAACTGAAGCGAAGTGAGTGTTGGTGGAAATTGCCGGGTTATCCACCCTAGGGAATAAAGCCACGAGATGAAGAAGCGTGGTACAAGTTTTGCACCCTACCCACGGGCCTGGAACGACTACATCTGGGGGGGCAGGGGCACCCAGTCAGGCCCTGATCCTGGCCAGATCTCAGTGGGAATCTGTCACCTTAGTTCTCTGCCAAGAAGAGGGCCAACTGCTGCCAGTTATGGGGGTTTTCCTGATGTAGACACTTGCCCGCGGGGAACTGGACAGAGACTCAAACTCGTTTCACACGGGGCCGCACTCAATAGCTGGCAACGGCGTTTGATTGCTCTGTTGTGGAGGCCAAAGACTTTGTAAAACTCAAAGAGGGACTGGCCATTTCTAAGAAGTTATAATGCCAACAAAACTCGTTTAGGAAGGGATATAAACCGTCAAGCTTCATGGCTTAAACCACTCTCTAATTATTGGGATGAGACCTTCATAGGGGGTAGATTATCCCACATCTGCCTTCCCCCGGGCTTCTTGCAACGTCCTTTGAAGTGGCCGGTGCTGGCCACTGTCTGAGACAAAATACTGTCTCGATGGATGACAGGTCTGATCCGGTCTGGCAATTCCTACACTTCTTACCCAGCCTGAATTTTAACAAGTGCCTTAGAGGGGAAAGACGCTGCATCCCTCTCCCAAATCCCCTGAGCCATCCGCTCCCAACAGGATACAGCATCCAATGAGCAAATACTCAGGAAAGCTAGATCTCGGGGGTCACTCAGTGAGAGGGGCAGGCCCTGAACCCAAAGACACTCTCTTTTCAGAACCCATGTATGGATTGTCTTCAATAGCAAGAGAGTGAACATGGCCCAGAGCAGGTCCCCCCTCTCCAATCTCACGCTGCAGGGTAACAGCCAAACCCCCTTCACCTCTCCCGTCACTACTTCTGGGGCTAGCTTCAGTTGCCATAAGATTTGGCTATAGCCAGAAAATGCCAACACTGATCCCATTGGCCTAAAATGGATCTTTACGGACAAGCCCCCACTTGCGATGTGCTCCACAAACCCCCTGTCCCATCCCTTACTTCACCCTATAATCCACCTTCCGACCCCTCTCAGTGGCCGAGAGCACACAGTTACCAGGAGTGGTACCCTGGAAGACCGACCTCAGGGAAAGTCAGAATCCCGACTGGTATCTTCGGTTCTGATGGCACGGGGGGAAACACACCCCCCTGGGAACCTGGTGCAGGTTCGGTTACGGTGGGTGAGCATCCCCCAGGCAGCTACCCGGCGCCTCTCTGCCGCAGTAACAGAACCCTGCTGCGGATTTCCTGTCACCCAAGCCTAGATTGTACTTTCTGTCATTTATCCTGGGAGCTCTTTGGGGCAGGGACCGCGGCCGCCTTTACGTCTGTATAGAACCAAGCGCACTGTGGCCAGGACCGAAAACAAACCACCACCCTTTGCTCAAGGTGGCGCAGCAAATCAGCTCTCTAGGCAAAGCAGATCTCCAAGCAGCACAGCTTCTGGGGTGATGCCTACTCCACCTTGCCCTCACATTCACTCCGGCACCACCAACCGCATCTGCTCATCTAGACTGGTCTGCTCAGCAGAGGGAACCCTGAACTTGCATTTCCAGGGCAGACTTGCCGCCCCTACTACCCTGCTAACTCCAGATTCCCTCTCCCCTCTCCATCCAAACACAGGCATGAAAGCAGCGAAAGGTAGGGGAACACATCCCCAGTCAGAGGGAACGAGCGAGTCATTCGCGTGGAATGCAGTGGACTCAGCATCCAGCGTTAGACATTTAAAAAAAAATAGATGCATAGACGATAATTATGCCCTGCACGGACTTCAGCGGAGCTTGCAAGCAATGCTGGGACTGACACACCCACCCACCATTCACAAGGGAAGCTGAATGTTTTGGTTACCAAAACAAATAATAATAATAATAAAAAAAAGGTTACTCCCCTGTTCCCTTCTCTCTCCGCCATGTGAGGCTTTAAACCCCCAGCCTACCGGTGAGATTGCAACAGCGAGGGACCACAGCAGGGGTAAATATCTAGCTTGGAGGAGTCAGCAGCCCACATCTCAGAAATCATTACTGCCGGGGTACGAACAAAGAGGGCTCATGTCAGATTAGGGGGTTCAAGATGAGATGTTTGCGGGCCAGTGGGGTATTTGGAGGAGTAGGGGGAGGTGCTGGGCGTCATCCAGGGAGTAAAGGGGGAGAAGCGAAGAACAACTGTGTATCAATATACTCTGCCTTAGGAAAGTGAAGTACATACGAGATTCAGGCTCCTCGGGGCCGGGAGGTTTAATTCATACCCCTTACAACAGAGATGCTTGAAACCTGACCCTTTTAGGGGAATTGTATGTGCGATGGTCATCTGTATAGCCACTCTTCCTTCCCCACCCGCCCCCCTGGGTGAGGGGGGTATCTACAGAGATCAGTCAGCCCTGCTGAATTGGGGGTTGTGACACAAGTCAAATGGGGTGCAGACAGGACTCACCCCCCCCCCGCAGTATGTAGGGAAGCTGAATCACATATACCGCCAATGGCAATAGGGTGCATGGGAAATGCCTCATCACACCCAGGGAAATGGCAGGGCATACAACAGCACCAACCCCCCCCCCCCAAGTGATGAAAGTGGGATGCGAGATGAATCACCCCCAACTTGTGAAAGTGGGGTGCACACCGTGGGTGGTGTCAAATCAAGCCCCGCCTCTGGCCCGAGGGGGGCTGAAACGGGAAGGGGGATAAGGGGGTGTAGAGGGAGAAAGGCAGGGAATGAAAACGGGGAGGCTCAAATCCTGTCCGGCCTTCGGGGGGATAAAGAGGTTGATGGGAGGAGTAAGGGGGTAGGAAGGATAGCTGGGGGAGACGGGGATAAGGAAGGAGATGGGGACGGGGAGGCAGGGAGAACACAGGGAACAGGCAGAGCTAGGAGATGGGGGACACCAATATGGGGGAGCAAAGGGAAGGAGGCAAAGATGAGGGCAGGCCAAGCGGGGCGGGGAGGAGGGGCAGAGCTGGAGGGCAAAGAGGCTGGCACTGGGGAAATGGGGCAGTGGGTTGGAAAGGGATAAAAAATGGGTGCAGAGAGGGTGGGGGGAAAGGGGGGGCAGAGGTGGGGCAGGGGGTGGATGGGGACCCCGGGGGGCCAAAGGCAGAGGGGCCAGGGCCAGAGACGGGGTGCGAGGGGCACTTGCAGAGATGGGGGGCAGGGGGTAGGTGGGGGGCCTAGGGAGCCAAAGGCAGAGAGGGTGGGGAGCAGAGATAGGGCGGAGGGGCAGAGGGTGAATGGGAGTCCCGGGGGGGTGAAGGCAGAGAGGGTGGGGAGCAGAAATTGGGGGCAGGGTGCAGGTGTGTGCAGTGGGTGGATGGGGACCCCTGGGGGGCAAAGGCAGAGGGAGCAGAGATGGGGATGGGGAGCAGAGATGGGGGCAGAGATGGGGCAGGGGGTGGATGGGGGTCCTGGGGGGGCGAAGGCAGAGGTGGCAGAGATGGGGCAGGGGG